CAAAGCATTACCCTCCCCCTGTCTATCCTTGATGAGTCTGGGCCTTTCCCACAGCCCACAGCACTGGCTGCCAAGGTCACACTTTATGAATTACCAGTAGGTGCATAGATAGACATATACATCCATAACATATCCATATGTGCATGTATACAAAACTCTGTCATCACACTTATGATATGATTGCATTTTCCCCAAAAGATAACATATACTTCTGAAAACAGGGATGATTCATACTTACACATCCCACAAAGATATTAATGAACGATGCCTTTATCCCAAGATGCTTTGCAGTGATTAAACATAGAACACCTTGGAAAACAAACAAATGTGACATGTCGTTATTCCAACGATCTTTCTGATCCTTGTTCTACAGCCAGACCCTGTTCCCTGTACCTCTTTAAGGTTTTATTCTAAAGGTGAGACATTTCACAAGAAGATACGAGTTGAAATTCAAAGGAATGTGTCTAAGAGAAACAGGATTCTGCAGTAGTAGAATTTTGCATTGCTGGGACCCTCAACCATTCTGATGCTTCACTGTTAAAATGAACTCCCAGCCTGTACAGAATGTGTTGGATTTTTGGAAAGCAGAATTCTAACTCACCTCATCAGCCTTCATTTGCAAAAGTTTATGTTYGTGTTGGTAATTAGGACAGGGTTTGGGGCCATCTTTGCTCATCAGAAAGACAGTTTGGGGTTTTATTCGGACAAAGAATGGACAGTTATACAGATAATAGGATCAGGGGGAAAATGCCATTCTTCATTTTAAACAGCAGTAGGAAACTGGAAAGGACATTAATTTCTCTAAAGGGCAGCCCTGYTGCATGTTGAACACAACCTTCTACATCTTTAATTAATTGCTATTCTAACTGTTTCATCCTGAGCTTCGATCTCACTCAAAACTCCAATGTGGCCTCCTCAGCAAGGAGCCTGTTGAAGCTTGGTGTCTGGTCAGGAGCAGCCTCAGCTCTTCAGGACATATACCCGACTCATGTGACTGTGAGCTTGGAGCCAACTTTCCCAGAAGGAAGGCAAGAATTCCAAGGCCTTTAAAGGGAAAAGTAGGGCAAAAAATAATTAGGCCCAATTACCTTTCCCTTTTAAATGTCCTGTGCTCTCCCTTCCTTTGTCTTCATGGTCTTGAATTGGTCTCTTTGTTCCGTATTTTGTGGACAACTTGTTGAGCGGTCTTGCTCTGTTTCTCCACATGTTATTTCAATTGCTCCAAAAGAGATTTATTACTGCAAGTCAGACCTTATCTTAAAAAAAAAAAAAATATTTGCTGGATGCATTGCTAAGAGCATAAAAAATCATTTTTGTTTAATAGAAAGCACTAGATTAAGTATCCTCAAATTATTCAGATTGGGACCTACACACATGCACAGGTGTGCTCTRCTCCATCACTTTTAATGAAGCAGTTGTACCATTTTACAGCCCACCCGATGTGTGGACCTCACAGTTCACTCCCTGCCCACACCCGTGCGTTTGTTTTGACTTTAGTCATTCCTATGCAGTTTCAGTTTTCATTTCCCTAATACCTTTTGGGGAGAGGAGGGTTAAACATCTTTCTTGTGTTTTTTTTCTGGACTCCTCACACTCGGGGCACCATTTCTGCATCACAGTGAGGCAGTCGGACACGGCCTGAGCTCTTCCTCTGCCCACTGTGCAGACACTCCTTGGAAACACAAAGCCCAGACGCTGGCTTCCCATCTCTTCTTCAGCACAACTCTGCACGGCCTGCTGTCCAGGCCCTCAAACAGTGATTTCACATAGTTTTCTAGGATTTTTTTTTTTAGGTTGGGATACAGATTACATTCTGTCCTGTTACACTGTCATGACTGTCACTGGAAATCAAGTCAGTTTACTTATTTTTATTGGTGTGTCATAATTATACATATTAGTGGGGCTTGTTACAAGATGATTTGGTCCGTTTTGCTCCCCAGTACCTTCCCTCTCCCTCCCCTCTTCCCTCTTCCTGGTCCCTTTCCTTTCTTCTCCTCATCTCCATTAGATTTTCAAGAGATTCCCACCATGCCTCCCACTCCCTTGCTTTTCCTCTCTCATTTTCATGTATGAGAAAAACATACAACCTTGACTTTCTGAATTTGGCTTTTTTCACTTAACATAATCCCTTAAGTTTCATCTGTTTGCCACAAATAACATAATTTCATTTTTCCTTATGGCCAAATAAAACTACATGGTGTATCTGTAATACATATTCTTTGTCCATTTACTCATTGACACATAGGTAGACTGGTTCCACAGTTGGGCTAATGGGAATTGTGCCGCTGTAAACACGTGTGTGCATGGATCACTGTTGTATGCACATTTTCATTCTTTAGGATAAATACTGATGAGTGGTGTAGCTGAGTCATTTGGTAATTCCATGTTAGTTTTTGAGAAAAAATTTTCTAGGTTTTTGTTTGTTTGTTTGTTTAACCAACCTGGAAGGCTCAAGTCAGCTTGTGAGGAAGGCAACTCTTCAGTTTATCACATCTAGGCTCCCTCTCTGTTGGTAACAGAAACCACACCTAGAAAGAAAAGGGGAAAAAAATGCTCCTTACTGAATTTGGGGAAATCTGCTAAATAAGAGTGTCAGTAAAGGACAGGGGACGAAGCAATCTGAATAGTGCCACTAAACTGCCCCACTTGGAATTTTATTTCAGAGAATGGAGGGGTTGCTAGTAAAAACAAACAAAAAAAATGGACCAAGACAGGAAGCTGTGTTACCCTGTGCTGAACTTGGGAGCCCAGCCCAGTGTTAGGGGACACACAGGAAGTCCTCACTCCCGCTCTCTGCCTTTGTCCCTTTAGTTGCACCTATGAACCCTCCCACTCCAGACTTCTCACATGAGTCATCCATTCCGCTTCTTTTCCTGCAAAGACTTCTAGACCCCACCTCCTCACTGCAAAATTGACATTCAGAAGGACCAATCCTCAACCTCTCTAGAGACCTGGTCTCTGGGTAGGAAGTGCAGAATTAGACTGCAAGTCACTGAGGTCAGATCAGTTGACCCCAGGAATGGACTCAAGTGTTCACCAAACAGGAAGGACTTTTGAAACAAACATTTTCCAGAAACTACTCACATGAGAGTTCTGTGCCTAGTTCAGTTTCGCTTTTAAATGCCTTATCAAAAGATTTCCCCCAGAAAGTGGTTTCTTGAAACATTTTGGTTTGTTTGTCGGCTTCTTTGGTTTCAGATAATACGTTAGCTTAGTCTTCTATCTATTAAATCCTGCCCAAGAACAATAAGCTTGCTTCCTGTGGTAACAAATATAGTTTGGGAAGCAACTGTAGGATAAGATAATTGCTGGAAGGTACGCCGCGGATGTGCTGCCATTTGGATTTGGTCTTAGGTTGGGGTCTGCTTTCTAGGTTTTATTGCTCATTGTCACCTGGAAATTGGTTTCCATCTCAAAGGGATTTGTAGCAGGAACTTCCTCTTTAAGCCATCACTTTTCTTTAAAGCCAAAATAAAACTTAATATGTTATAAGGCAACAGAAAGCCTCAACAGTAAAGTCGTTTCTCGATTGGAAAAGTATGGAAAATGTAAACTTCAATCTTCTTTCATGAGGCAGAGCAATTTAGGGGCCCCCTAAAGATTTTCTAGTCTCTCACCTTCATGATGAGAAATTGAATGGAGAAGGAATTATCTGGGCAGTTATGCGCCAGAAGTTCAAAAGGAAAGAACGGAGTGGGGGAGGAGGAAGGAGGAGAGTCTCGCTGGACCTTTCCAGCTTCAGCAGTTGCACTTCTCCTCCTCTGGGGAAGCTTACGGGGGACCTTTAGGTTTTTTGCTTTTCCTACCCAAGCCTCTTCCTGTGTCATGGACAAGGCTTCTTCTTGTCTGCCATACTCCTGTGGCTGGGCCACCCAGTCCCCATTTTCACATGTACAAATGAGCACCAGCCTCCTTTGCCATCCGAGCAGTGAAGACGTTCAGGACTCAGCTTCAAGACTCTCTGCTCAGTGCCTTCCCCTCTGTACCTTGGAAAGGCCATTGCTTAGTGCTCCACCCCTGACCTGGCATCACTTATGTCCTGCCTGACTAGATGAGGTCTTTTTGAGGACAGACCAAGCCCTTTCATTCTAAGCTCAGTGGCCGTTGAATGAATGATAACTCAAATATTTGTTGCCTTGAAATAAGCTAAATTAGTAAGGCAAGTAGTTCTTAAGTTATTTGCTATAAAACTTAGGAGAGAAACTCATCTCACACTTAGCTTTGTCTTAGTCTGTTTTGTGCTGCTATAACAAAAATGCTGCAGATGGAACAAACTGGGCAGAACTGCTAGCAGTTCTGGAGGCTGGGAAGTCCAAGACTGGCCTGCAGCACCTGCTGAGGCCTTCTGCTATTTCATCACATGGCAGAAGACCCTGGTGTGGTCACATGGAGGAAGGCTTAAGGATGAGGGGGCAAGTGGGAGGAGGGGCACAAACTCGCCCTTTTATTACAGCATTGTGAAAAGCCCTTATGACATCATTGCCTGATCACCCAGTAGAGGACCCACTTCCCAATACAATTACAATAGCAATGACATTTCAGCATGAGTTTTAGAAGAGAGAGATTCAAATCTTAACTTCTTTGTATATGTGATGTGAATATATGAACATTGTGTGGACTAGTTAATGTGGAAAGCTTGTGAAATACTTGCAGTTATTGCAAGTTTGAAACTGAGTCCATGTGGCCCTGTGTGAAGACCACAGAGATGCATCTGTGTCAACAGACAGGATTCATGAGCTCGTTGTTTCCCTGTTAATGGCTGTGGAGCTCTCAGGCAGCAGGACAATGACGTGCATCAAGACTTTCTTGATGAGGTACATTTGGGAAATGCTGGGATGCAACCTCACCTAGGAAATCTATCATTTTAACTAAAATTCCATCTCCAGCTTCATGATCTGAGTATCCTCTTTGCCCTATTATCTGGTTCAGACCTATTTACTCCTTCTTTGTTTGTTTGATTTTCAGCTTTTATGGTGGCATGGCACCTGGTTTCTCTCTCCAAGGAAAGTCCAGCCAACAGCCCTTGACACACTGGATTGTTTGATGATCCCACCTGAAGTAGGTATGTAAACCTTCTGCGCCCTCTGGCCCACTTGCCCGTTCTGTGAGTATTCAGGCTCTGAGTGCAGAGTGTGCATCTGTTCCTATTGACTACCAAGGGTGGAATCTCTTCTGCAGAGATGTCAGAGATGACCCCTGTCTTTCCTACCTAGAAGTTCATGTGTTGACATAGTGATTCCCGAAGACCCCTTCATGTTCTTGGTTATATGGGAACTCAAACTGAAGAACATCAGTTTCAAGAAAGGACAATTCTATACTTGTGTGGTGGGCTGGGGATGTGGCTCAGTTGGTAGAGTGCTTGCCTTGCATGCACAAGGCCCTGGGCTCAATCCCCAGCATCAAAAAAAAAAAAAAAAAAACCTATGCTTGTATACTTGTATGGTTCTGAAAACCATAACATTTATCTGCACTATGGAGATCAAATATTTGAAATGGGACTGTCACCCTGGTATGTTTGTAAGCACAGAATCTGTAGCTTAAAATCCTGACAGATAGATACCAGCTTCTCTCTGTTCAACAAACAAAAACCTAGTTCAAGTTAGAGAAAACTTAGTAATACCTCGGAGTCTAAATGACTATGCACTTGAATTAATGAATGATTCCTTGATCTCTAAGACTTTGTGATAATTTCTCCCTTGGTATATCATGACATAAATATGAAGCAAAACAAAAGAATACAATATTTGACAATGTTATTGTTCAGTGAATCCTCTTGAAAGATTCTGAAATTGATTCTCAAATATGTATGTGTATGTAGGTGTATTAGGTACACACACACACACACACACACACACACACACATACACATCTATAAACCTTGTAGCTCCTGAGTCAATTGCATAATGCGGGGGTTATGGAGATACTTTATTACAAAAGTCATTGCTTGCTTGTATTCAACTTGCTAAAATATTATCATAAATACAGCATTGTTGAATGCTAATATAAATTTAGAAAAGTGCCAAATCTCTATAAGCTGTATTTTCAAAAGTAAAACTCTATAATGACTTCCCTGCTCATCCTAATTTTGGAAAAAAATAAACAAACAACAAGAAAAAATACCAGTCTGCTAAAAATTGAGTTTGGGAAGTAACGCAGCCTTGAGAATTAAGACCACCACCACTTAACAATGACCTTGGGAAAATTTTTGTACAATCATAGAAAGATTATTATTATTAAATTCTGAAAAAAAAATGAAAAGAGGGGAGAAGGAAAGAAGGAAAAAATGAAAGGAGGGAGGGAAGAAGGGTGGAAGGATAGGAAATAAACCAACCCCAAATTGCAATGCCCCAAATGTGCCTGATCAACTTTTTTCTTAGTGAGGTATCAAGTAATTAATGGCCATGTTTCAAAGGAATTTCAAAGAGTTCTACATTCCATCCAAAGTAGAGTTTTACCACCATAACTTAAGGTAGAAGTTTCAACTAGTTGCCTACTTGTTAGATATATCTTAATTTGTTTATTTTGTACTTATTTTGGGCTACACATAATTGATATATGTGATATTAAAAAAAAAAACCATAACACGAGGACACTCACAGGAGATCTGAGTTCCCATCCATCTCTTCCTCTGTCAATCACTGCACAACTGAACTGCTGCTCCAGCCAGGAATCTATTGGTCCTACAGACGCTTTCCTCTCCTTCCTCTCCCCACATCCAGCTCATCTGATTCTCCACAGCCCACCCTGATCCTGAGGGCTCATCTTTCACCTTGAAAAGATACTTGTGCTTGGAATTCCCAACAGAATATTAAATCAACGCCTCCAATACCGAGGCTGGGGCTGCAGAATTTTGAACATTTCCTCAGACGATTGTGACATGCAGCCCATCTCCCGTGTCTTCACGGCTCTCTGTGTTGGCGGTCATCACCCTTGTCCAAGCCACATTCACCACTTCCTTCTTGTACCGTCTTCCACAAGAGTCCCTCTTTCCCATTTCCACCTCGTCTCTGCTCAATCCATCCTAGGCCCAGCAGCCAGAATAATCATATTTATAGGAAAGTATCAGTTAATTCCTGCCTAATAATGGTAATAATAATAATGGATGAGGATCACTTTTACATTGAACAAAGGACCGGAGTTCAGGCTTTGCCCAAGGCCAGAGTCCTGGGGTTTTTAAGTTTTAGGAGGAAATAAAGGAAAGGGTCTAAAAGCAGCAAGTGAAAAGACCAAGGCTGATTACTCCGCTTTCTTCTCTGGCCTGTTGCCCAATCTGACTGTTGGATAAATTGCCACCCAACTTGACCATAAGGAGCAAAGAGATATTATAATTTGGTGGTGACACTATTGCAAGACTAACTTCATGTCGCAGCCTCCAAAGTTCACTAAATGTCCTTCCTTTGTACTTGAATGATTCACTTAGTAAAATAAGTTGATCTTGGTGAATTTTCAGGCAGAGTCACAGAACCAGAGGTGTCTTCTGCTGTCAGACATGTGGACGACTGTCCTTTTCACCAAGGGATAATGTACCTCCTAACATCCACCTGAACTACAGCAGGAAGACTTTTCTCTAGGGACTACCTAAAGTATTATTTCAGCCACTGCACTTAGTCTTCACCCCCTAGCGTATCTAGTGCATTTCCCATCAGAAGGGAGGTGACAGGGGTGTCAAAAGAAAGTTTTCTTCAGAAAAGTCACCCTGGGAGGCATAGTGACGTTATTGCCATCAGGGTTTAGAAAGGAATCAAGAAATTCAAACCCTACCAAAGCTGCATGGAAATCTGGGTCCACATCAGCACTGCTGGAGCAGGACAGTGACAACTTTGATTTCATACTGGTGACAACTTTTGCCTTCACTTTAAAACCATCACTGTTTTATGGTTTTCACTATTAAAAAAAAAAAAAAAAGTTCAAGGCCCTGTGTTGAAACAATAGTGAAATTGTTCACGTGATGTTCAGATAATTGAGTCCAACCAAGGCAGGTAGTCAGCCAGCTGGTATTGAGTTAAGGCTGAGGCCCAGCTGCTTCTTTACCCTGAGCTGTTTTCATTAGTGAAGCTGAAGTGCATTTGGGGACCTAAATTGCCCAAAGGATAGGCCTATGTGGAGCTATCTTGAGTTTAAGAAAACAGTTGTCCTTTTAAGTTTTCTCTTAAATATTTATTTTGGGATAGAAATGGAGACTAAAATACAGAGACACACAAACATACTGAACATCCCTAGAGACATATTATGGAGCACTGCTTATTCATGCAATGTCTTTCTGTTCCCTTTGGGGACCAAGACGGACTGGCCTGTGTACAGCTCCCTTCCATGGTGAACAGAGCTGTAATGAGGTCACAGATTCTTTTCATGCCATTTTGGAAATTTCTCTGAAAGGACTCAGTCGGCAATGGATGCCCCTTACAATCTAGTGTTACATATTAGCACAGGCAAAGCTTTTCAAATAATGTAAAGCCATTTTTTTTCCCAAATGCCTTGTATCCCTGAGTGTCTAGGTTCCAAATAAAGGAAGATTAAAATCTCTGTGAAATCTATCATAGAGCCACCACATGGAACTGTCAGCAGGAGGGGAATTAATGGTGTCTGAAATGAACCTTGGGTTGAATGTACTTCACCTTGCATATTCTACTATTTTTTTCATTTGCCATTAATTCCCTTTAATCAGGGAGGTTGGCTGAAACTGAAGCACCATTGGTTAGGATTCATTAAAATAATCTAATGTAAAATGGAAGTGTATTCTGTTTTTATTACAGTACAGGTACAATATGGACACTGGATAATGTTGAGTTGATGGTGAAGATTTGTATGACTTTATGTTGACACACCAAATGACTCAAAAATGTGCATTTGTCAGTAGATACTTACTATCATATCAACCTTTTTTTTATTCTTATCATTTTGGGGGCACTTTATAGTAACTCTTAAGAGTGATTATTTTAGAAGAAAGAAATGGACTCTTCCAGCCTCCTCCATGCTTGGACCATGTTAGACTTATATAAATACTTGTGAAGTGAGTAAATGGATAATTCAGATGCATTTTTATTTTAAACACAAGCAAATGAAATTACACCATAGCTAGGAACAGACTTAACCAATGAAATAGACACATAAAGCAATGAGCAATAAAAATGGAGATTCGTCAGGTTATAGACACATCTGGGAGGCTCTGCTGAAGCAAAGAGCTGGGCATCACTTTTAAAGGACTTGCGCAGAGCCAAAGGCCACAAAAACTAATATTTTTGTTAGCAGCTCATCTTGATTTTACTAAGGAATGGCTACCGGCTTCTCATTTCTCCTTCCCCAATATTTTTTTCTTTAAGGCCTTTTTTTTCTTGTTTCTGCCATTTTGAGGATATATTCTAATCTAAAGAATCCTGATTGGGCTGGGGATGTGGCTCAAGCGGTATGGCGCTCACCTGGCATGCAGGTTCAATCCTCAGCACCACATACAAACAAAGATGTTGTGTCCGCTGAAAACTAAAAAATAAATATTAAAAATTCTCTCTGTCTCTCTCTCTCTCTTTAAAAAAAAAGAATCCTGATTGAGGCCTCTTATCTCTAACAATTTTGCTAGATCCATGTGAACAAACACTAAGAGAAAAAGTTCTGTAGCATCCTTGTAAACTAGTCTGATACAAAAGCAGGAACACTTGTAAACTATCACATAGCTTCTGCTCTTATCCAGTCAAGTAATAGATATCTGTATCTACATATCCCATTAACTTAAAAAACATTGCTTTGTTTTTCTTTTCCCAAAACTATTTTACCGAGCTGGTTTTCAACGAAGATGTAATGACTCAATTCTTTAACTTTCTTCAAACCATTATTAATACAATATTTATAGTCTAAAGCTAAGGTTATTCACGTGGAGTAAACACACCGTGCATGGTTCGTGCTCGAGTCCATCTTCCTCTGAGACAGGTGATATCGTGCATCCTGCATTTGTGGTCTACAGTGCCTTCATACAGTGGGTCAGCAGTTCCGTGGTGATGGCGTGAGCTTTGCCTCTAGCAGTCCTGGTTCACACCCTAGATTAAAACGTGCTCTTTGCCTGTCCTTGTT